GAGGCTTGCTATGTGAAAGGGGTCACCAGTACAAAAGTTTGAGAACTACTGAGTTACAGGGAATAAATATACTATGAAATTCTGTTTCAATTTAAACCATTCAGTATAAAACTTCACATTTGAACTGGACCCACTTGTAAAAAAAATATAAAAGTCCTTCAAAAAAATGTTCTTGCCCTCTCCAGTCTTCCACCTCTCAAAAGGTCATAAAGTGCTAGCAGTCAGACCTCACCTATCAACAGGGTAAAGAAGGGGTCCATTCCAGCAACACCTTTAATTTAAACTGTACATAGAGGTGATAATAGTTTGGGACTTAGGGTCCCTCATTTATACTACACTTTTAACCAAGTTTTCAACCACATGGTTGACTCCAAAAATGATTTGTGCCCACATTCAAAATGGATAATACATGATAAGTAACCTTTGTGGGTAACAGTGGCCTGCCCTTGGAAGCAGCCAAATGGTTGCCACCCTCCTTAAGGCTTCATAACACTTATTTTGGTGTATACAAAAAAACTCCCCCAACTATGCCTGTGCAACTGTTGGCCAACATTCCTTTTCCTACATAACCAAGAAATGGCAAGCAACTGTGAAGTAGTCAGCACTCTCAATCACAGGCCTTAGTGAACACTGCAGTGTCTACTACAGGCAGATTGGTCCCCAACGCGGTGCCCGCGGGCGCCCTGGCGCCCGCTGGGGCATCCATGTGCGCCTGCCTACTGGCCGCTGGATTTTTGGCAGCATTTCGGTGGCAATGCCTCTTGACGTTGCCGCTTCACGGTGGCATTTCGGCGGCAGCTTGTCCAGTGGCCACGGTCCTCGGCAGCTCGTCGTCCAGTGCCTGCCACACCGAAAAGGCTGGGGACCACTGGACTAGACTGAATTCTTAGGATAAGGCAGGCCATCACACAGTGGAACAAAAATGGAGTTGGTATAGCAGCACACGTACACTGTTGGTGTTTAAGGCTATGTCATCACCACAGAGTTAACTTTGATTATCTACACTTGAGCTAGGTTAACTAGAGAAGAATTAACTCAAGTGAATGGCCACACTGCAAAACACTTGATCTGCACAGAGTGATTGTATGAGCAGCTGGTGAGCTGTGCTAACTCTAAATGTAGTCTATACCCCTGGATAGGTTAGGCAACTCTCATTAATAGCAGCACCACACTCAATTGAAGGATTTGTGTATTTAGAGATGGGACTCCTGGTGAGGTTGCACTAGAGTTATATCTCAAGTTAACTCTCCAGTGAAGACAAACCCTAACAAATAAATTAAACAATAATGAATAATAAGCACTTGGACCCTGAGATAACTGCTTTTTAAATAAACAGTTTGTGGAGGATTGACAAGATAAAAGTCAAAGTAAAATTAGACTGATTCAGTTGCAATTTCAGCAGGATATGAAGTCAGTGTGATGTTTAATTTGTAAATCAACTTTGAAACTACAATGCATAGAAGCCAAATGATATGGTTACAATATTCCAACAATCAAATAGAGTAAATCCCTAGCCTACAAAATTGTTTGACATTTAGAAGCTAATCAAAGTTTTAAAAAAATATTTCTTCTAACTTGATAAAGGTAACTTCCTTTTCCTCTCCAAAACCCATCCCATGCATTATCTCAGTGCTATTAAGCATGTAAAAAACTGGAAAAAAAAAAATCAACATGGCATCTGGAGAAGTACTCTTTGAACATTAATAGCATAGCAATTTTTATTAATAGGTTACAATCAATCCAAAAATAAAAAACAAAGTTCATGCTCTTACACCTTTACGTTCTGCAGGTTTTTTTTCTTATTCTAAAGAAATATATTAAAAAGTTAAATGCCTGAACACGTTTCAGTTTTTCTTGTTAAATGGATTACATGCAATTCGGAGTGAAAAAATCATTCCTTCTAGCTATAAACTCAATTTGTAAGGGTTAGCATAAAATTGTGAACATTTAACGCTCTGAAAACTATAAGACTTCTCTATAGAATTGCTGAAAATATCCCTGATTATGTTGCTGTTTTTCATACTTTGAAGTTACATTCTGCTAAATTATATTTGAACCTGATTTACTTTAATCTTCTTAATACAGGTCATTACATATTAAGAACTTTTCATAAAACAAATCATCATATCTGAATTTTGCTTTTAGAAAAGCAAAGATAGGCCTACAAATTTGTGAAAACAGTTCTCTAATTATACAGCTGAATAAAAGTAAACAGACTGAGGAGCACTGTGCTATAATTCAACTCTTATCTCCATGCCATCCCATTTAGAGGAACCAGGCTTGCATTCTTTTTCACCCCAAAGTCCCACTGGAATCAACTGGAAGTTTGGAGTCCAGAATGCAAGAGTAAGCTGCCTCTGCCCCTC